GCTCACTCAGTGGTGTCTGTACAAGGTGCTAAGTGGATTTGTGTTGGCCTCAAATGGAGATGTTCCCCTGCCTCTAAAATAAGGATAGGGACTCAAGTATTTCCTTCTTCCACCCACAATTCAAGTTGTTTCCAGGTTTGTAGTAGTTTGTACCTAGTTAGAATTATTGTGACTGTCCTGAGGAACAGAATTACTTTCACAGAGAGGGTTGGTTGATTGCTATCTCTAGCCAACCCCACTCCTCCCAAAATGAAAGCACATAACCATTTTTTCCCCCTTGGGGAAAGGCAGGTGCTGGTGAGAGTTGGCAGGAGACTTATAAAGCAGTCCTTACTAGTTAGTGAAATGTCAGGAGACAGGGACCCTATTCATTCCTTTGAGCTTCAGTATAGTCAGCTAATGGCCTTTAGAGCTGTGGGTCTCAGTTCATATCAACTGTCTCATAGCTTGCTTCATCAATGCAAATCAAATGTAAAGGGATGCTTCTCACTTGGAACCCTTGTTTTATTTGGTGCCAGCATCTCAATTTAGGTTGTTCTGAAGAAGGACTAGCTAGGCTGCATTCCCGTTCTATCATCCACAGACCTCTTGGCAAGAAAATGTGAAAAGGGGAGATAAAATCCAGAATGACCTTTCCATGTCTCTGCATGTCTGTCTGTGGCAAGGAGCCACAAAAGCGTAGAGTAAGACCTTCTCTTTTGATTCTACGACCCATAAACTTAAGAGATGAATGACTGGTCCAGATTCCGGCCACCAAGAGGTTCCTTGCTCCCGTAAGTCTCCTTCTGCAGTGAGTAGCATCAAAGATGCTGTCCTACTCCTCATTGCAGCTGTTGCTGGAACCTAAGTACTTCACAGTGAGGTAGCACTGCACTGTAGCACTGTCCTCCCATTGTTCATCGATTTGCTCGAGTGGGCACCAGTAATGTCTCACAGCAAATTGTGAGACTTGTTGTTACTGTTTTTGGCATATCGAATATGTCACGGGTAGCTTGCCGGACCTTGCCGTGCAGGTGAGATACTCTCGGAAGTTTGCCGGCTCTCCAAGAGGGGTGGAGGAATCGAACCCAGGTGGCCGCATACAAGGCAAATGCCCTACCCACTGTGCTATCAGTAAAAGGGCCTTATGTTGTGAAGCAAATATAGGAGCTCTGCTTTGATTTGTTGAATTGCCTAGATGGTAGTAGAGGAAGCGGAAGAGGCCCAGAGGTTCAGGCCAAAGATCAAATGGAACTGAGGGTCAACCCCCCAAGATGACTTTTGGGGTGAACTTAAAAAAATCTAAATGTATTGACAGAGAGGTGTTGCTGAACAATAAACAGAATTGTGTTGATTGAAGGTATTGATTTCTTAAATGGTAATCTAAACTATTCTTGCAACCACTGGGTGGTAAGTAATACTGGTGAGTCTTCAGCAATATTCATCAACTAAATGTGGATTTATTTATTTTTATTAAATCACCTTGAGCTACAGTTACAAAACTTTCATGTTTGAGTTTCAGTCATATAATAATCAAACACCTATCCCTCCTCCAGTGTATATTTCCCACCACCAATGTCCCCAGTATCCCTTCCCCCTCCCCTGTCCCACCCCTCTCCCTGCCTCTATGGCAGACAATTTCTCTCTTACTCTCTCTACTTATGGGTATTATGGTTTAACTGAATGTTTCAACTATGTGTTTGTGAAGGTGATGTGAATAAGCTCCACTGTACTGAACCTTACTGGCTAATAGAAGAAGCCAGCAGCAGATGACCCTTGCAAATTCCTGTCCTATTCCTTTCCTTGAAAGAGACATTGGTGGGCGATTGCTTCTCAGGGCAAAGGGTGAATCAGCAATATTCCCCTGCATTTGGGAAGACATTGATCAACCTGTCCATTACACAGTTCAAACTGGGCTCCCAGGTTACAGATTGTTAGAGAGTGACACTTGGCTCTGTTCTGAAATCATTAATTTTTTTATCTCTGGCTTTTTTTTTCTTCCAGTTACTGACCTTTGACTAGAAAGAGCAGGTGTATATGGTGGGTCCATCACCCCATGGGTGGTTGTTGCATCAGAAACACCCGATAAGACCCCTCCCCCTCCACTCAGGGCTGGGGCTGGTATCGACCAGATAAGGGAGTGGTACTGAAGGAACCCAGCAGTTTTCTCCTTATCAATCACTGCCCCTGGGCAACTTTCTGGGGTAGAAATCACAGCAGGGCACAGGGGGCAGGGAGGAGGAAGTGCATTTGATAAAGCTGCCATTACTGTCACAAAAGTGATAGGAAGTTACCAGAGGTGTGACCCAGTGGGAACAAAGCCACTGGCCTGGGAGGAACCAGTCCAGACAGGAGGCACTTGGAGATCTGGGTCTGTCCGTCTCCACTGCGAGCAGAGCAGGACCTGGGCCCAGAGATGCTGAGCTGGGCCCACTGTGGTGCCCTGGCACACATAACACTGGTATAAGGAGACAGGCCCTGGTCCTCAAGAAAAACAGAGTCACTCTCCCCTCCCTTCAGAGCACCTCAGGGTCCTTTCTCCTCCCCCACCAATTTAGACTCCCACACCTCAGGGAGCGGTTGGCCATTGTCCACAGCACTTGGGGGGAAAAAAACGGAAACCCAGAATACAGGGGAAGTAAATCACTTGAAAGATCAGGGACACCAGAAACTCCATTCAGATCCTTGTTTCCCTCCAACTCTGGCACCGGGACCAGAGCTCAGTCCAGCATCAGGGCCCTCAGTTAGCACTCGGACTACCCTGCTTTCTGGGTTCTGGACTAGTCTGTCTCCAACTCCCCGTGTCATCCAGAGACTCCCACTCACCCTCGGGAGAATCTCCATGTTCTTCAAGAAAGGAGAGAGAGCGATGGCCATCGGCCTTCATGGTTGCTGGGTGCGGTCAGGGTGACATGAAGACTCGCCAAAGGCAGGAGTGGCTGCCTTCCAGAAAGGAGCCACCTGTGCTTCCCTATGAGGCATGTATCTGTGGTGGGAACTGTACTTGGTGCTTTATCCGTGACACCAGTACCCAGGTAAAGGAAAACTCCATTGAGCAGTTAAGGAAGATGAAGTTCAGAGAAATGAAGGAAATTGTTCCAAGTCATTGTCTTGGTCTACTGAGGCGGGCATACAGCATACCACAGGCTACATGACTCAAACAGTAGGTGTGTGGACCAGAGAAAAAGAGAGAGAGAGAGAGAGAGAGAGAGAGAGAGAGAGAGAGAGAGAACCAAGTAGGCTAAGCACATGCTTTGCAGGCAGGAGGCCTTGCATGGTCCTCCGAGCACTGCCAGGAGCAGCCCCCGGGTATAGGACTGGGTATAGCTCATGAGCCCCCAAAAACAAAAGCCAACGCCAAAATAGAACAAAACCAGATACTTATTTCTCACAGCTCTGAGGCTGGAGGACCTCAGCGAAAGCCACCACCAGTCTCTGGTGAGAATTCTCTTCCTGGTCTGCAGATGGCTACACCCCTTTTCCTCAGAGTACATGCAGGAAGGAGGAGAAAGGCGCGCCCTCACTTGCCTCCTCTTCGAAAGACATTAATCTTAAATCATTGAACCCTGATTGCTTCCTAACGCAGTGACAACCAGGTTTGGGAAATTCGCTCGGAGGTTTGGAGGTGACAGAGCAGTCGGGCTTTCCTGTACCTCTCCTCTAAGTGAACCACCAGGTGTGGGGCACGCCTGTCTGTCAGCGTCCACAAGCCTCCCTGAGCTCCCTCTGAGTTGCTCCCCTCACTCTGGGGTGCAAAAATGGGTGAGAAGCTCGCTCCCCCTTTGACCAGACCTTCTGAATGGTGCCAAGGATGTTGCCCCAAACATTGTCCCACGCCAAGGACTCAAACTGCAGCTATGACGCAGATGGCAAAAGAAGTGTAACGAGGCAGGACCGGGTCCTAGTGGTAGATGGTGAACCAGGGAAGAGAATAGATAAGGTTGAGCCCTGAGCACTGACTGTTTCATAGTTAGCTTTGAACCAGGCCCAGGGTTGGACCTTCCCTAAATGTTGCTCTTTGGACAAATCCCATGGGCCCAGTTCCCTGCACACCTGGAACAAGGTCAAGGTCACTTGTCAGCCCTGTGTGGAGAGAGGGTGAGCACTTAATCCACACTGGCCAGCCACCCACTGAAGCAGCCGAGCTGCGCTTGTCAGTTACTCATTATAAAAGACTTTGCCGAAAAAACAAGCCCTTCAGACTCCTCTGCAGGCTTCCACCAAGCCCAACAACAAGCTCGTCATCCACCTGGAATGTCTCCTCTCTATAAATTACAGTGTCTCGGCATTGTTTTAAACACATCCCGCCTCTCTTGCCCACTTGCTCTTGCTTTACGGTTCCCGCTTGTGTTCCAGAGGCAAACTTGGGAAGGTAGCGGCTTTTCCTGTTTGTTTGTTTGTTTGTTTGTTTGTTTAAAACACTTCAAAGAACACGAATACACTGGATATCATTCAGGAAATGAAGGTACTTTGGTACTTTCCCAGAGTATCAAAGAAAGGCAGGGAGTTCTTAGCAGGGCCCCAGTTAGCTGGTGAGAACTGAAGCGGAGAGCGGCAGTTCTCACGTCTCCGTCTCTGCACCGGGGACTGGCGCAAGGAGTGTTTTCAGCGGGTGATGCTCTTCGTGCTCCTTTCCTGTCACTCCACACTGGGAGTTACTGCCTCTCTGGGTTTCTCAGGAGAGGAAAAGAGCACGCAGAGCGCCTTAGCCCTCTGTCCGTCATCACCACGGTCAGAGGTGCTGACTGACTGCAGGCTCCCGGCCAACTGTCAGCGCCACCTGCATGCATCTGGGTGCCCCAGCCCGTTCTGCTCTGAAGAGCTTTTCAAGTGATGTTTAACCTGGAGCCCTTTGGGAAAGGGAAGAGACTGTGTCCATGAGTCACTTCCCCCCCGCCCCAGACCTGTGCAGGAGGAAATGGTGGGCTCCTACATCTCACTCATTACCACCACCACCACCCTCAGCCCCCCCCCACTCTCTCTCTCTTTCTCATTCTGTCCATCGTTGGTTTTTTTTGCAGGTGTGAGAGCTGTGGAGCCGTTTTTCATTCCGAGTGCAAAGAAAAGTCTGTCCCGTGCCCAAGGTGTGTCCGCCGAGAGCTGCAGAAGAAGCAGAAGTCTTTCTGGCGGAGGCTGAATATGGATGAGAGCCTGGAAGAGGCTTGCAACATGTTTGAGCTGTCCTACCAGAACACCTGACTCGGCGCCAGCCCTGGCCAGCGAGTGACCTCCGGGTGATCCGTCAGCCCCCACGGCTGCCTAACCAGCCAGCTAGGTCCCTTTGGAAGAGGAGCGCCTCATCTTCTGCTAGATTTATATTTTATTTCTATATATACCCATACAGGCAGGTATAGATACACACTTACATGTCCTGTATGGATGTTCCTTAAAAATTATTATCATCTAGAAGGTCCATGGAGTCTCTGTGACTCAAAAAGCTTCTGATTACTGAATCAAATTTAACCATGTAATGAGCTACTTACACCCAAACAATATGTGGTTTACATTCAAGGCTTTATCATTCAGCCTTCTCTCTCTCTCTCTCTCTCTCTCTCTCTCTCTCTCTCTCTTTTGTTTTTTCATTACTTTGGAGGGTGGGGGGTGGCAGGGAATGCATAGGCTCCCATGGGCCATTTTATTTCCCAGGACATAGGGGGAAAAAAGCATTTCCTACATAAACAGGGTTTGGGTTTATTTTTGTGCTATTTATTTGTAACCTACATGGAGGATCGGGTAACCGAGACAGGCGAGACAGGCATCTCTCATCGCCTGTTTCAGAAGAAAATCTTCAAAATGCAGGTCTGGCTCCACGTCTGTGTGTCTCCGCTTGTTTTTTACTGACATGGGGTTCTCCGAGGCTGAGCCAAGGGGCTTGACCACCAGGCGGCCCAGCAGTAAGCATACACTTCTATTTACAAGGAGAGCTAGCACCGGTTTGGAAGCATATCTCAGAAAGATTCTTCCTGGGACAAGAAGAGAACTCTGCCACCAAGAACTATACCGTGTTGGTCTGTTTGTTGGTAGAAATCTCCACATCTGCCAGATGAGGCAATGGCCACCGTGTTTGCTGGGTCAGACTTATGGCTCTGGGGAGGGCAGTTTCCCAGGGTTTTCACAGGAGACGTTTTAGGAGCTTTTTAATGGTGCTTGGCTGAGGAAATTTCCTAAGACTGCTGTTAAAGATACCGGTTTGTAGACTGCTTGACAAGGTTTCAAGTGCATCCATTCCAACAGGTGGTCTTCTGTTTCTTTTCACAGAATCTTCTATAGGCAGTTCCTACCTGCCCTCTGGAGACGTTTTATTTCTCATTGTTTTGCGTTTCACTTTCATTCTGCCCTTTAAACAGGTCAGTTTAGTTGCTTCTGTTTTTTCACATCTTGTTTTTAATTTAAAGTAATTAAGGTAATAGAGAATCCCAACTTGAGGCTATTAAGAAAACCCCAGACTTACCAATATAATTAATGAATTAAATCTAATATTGTTTAAATAAGTATATATTTATAGATATGTATACATACACATATATAATTGCCACCATCGAGCAAAATAAGAAGCGCTAAGAATTCTAGCCTAGGAATAAGAACTGCATTGAATTGCTTAACCCTGTGACACGGAAGTGTTCTCTCGCTGCCAGCCCAGCGGTCCCTGGGCAAACTGTCAGGTAGGAAGGCACTAGAAACAGTGGCTCCCATTCCTTTTGCCGTATCTCTTTCCAAATCAGAAATACATGCTTCTCTTAAAACACATCTCTCTAGACCATATGAGAAGATTTGGGGTGTTTCCAGTAAGCCGAGGATGCCTTCAAGGCTGAATAGTTTCGCTGCTCTTAGGATCTGAAAAATCAGTGATTCACGCCTACCTGGTACATTGAACACCGGGGTCCCTTTTCCTGACCCCGTTGCTCCCTCTCGATCCCAACTTCTGGTACTTCTGTTCTTTCAGAGATGTCGCAGACTGTTCCGCAGACTGTTCGATGTAAACCTTATACCTCTCAACCCCTGCCAGTTCCTTTGGTCCTGGACCACACATTTCTCCTTCCCAGCCCAGCTCCCAAACCACAAAAGGCAAAAATCAACAAATGAGACCACATCACACTCAACAGCTCGGCACCATGCATGAATTTATTTTCTGATTATACAGGAGCTTTAGCCCAGGCATGAACACTTACTCAAAGGCCAGGAGCCTGTTCACGAGACTCCTTATGGTGCCTTTGCCTCTTACGAGTACAGGTTCACTTCCCCCGGACAAATACAGGGAATGTTGCGCACAAAAGAAAAAGGGCGGAAAAATCCCATACAAAAACTTGGCAAGCAGGCAAATAAATTTGATCGTCTCCTCTTGCCTCCTCCCTTCCATGAAATACAGTATTTCTATTTTCCAGCCTCTGAGAAGATAGCAGAACATGATCTTTCACAAGAGAGTTATAGACCAGCTTATTATAAAAACAGATGTGCTCCACTGGCAAAGTGCCTTTTCCTCCGCCTCCGGCTCCCTGTCACCGTAGCTTCTATTGGCCTTCGCCATAATTAATGCATCCGTGATTCTGACTGTCGACAAGGCCGTCTCTTGCACGGGGAGACCCGAAGTTCAGGGCTGTCTCCTCCCCTGCTAGCATGTTTGCACTCTGTGCCGACAGACACCCAGGGTGAGACCGGGTGAGCGTCGGGGTTAAATTCTGGATTCCTGTTGTAAAGGCCTTTGTTTCCACCAGTATCCATTTGGAGGGCCTTGCTAAATATTAACAGTTCCTGTGAACTTGTCAGGAGAACCTTCCACCCACATCGTTTTCTGCTTATTTTCCAAAGTTGGGGGGGGGGGGAGGGGAATAGCAGCACTGTCAGCATCAGCCACCCAGCACAGGACCTGTACCCAGCTGCTTGGGTTCACTCTCCCTTTTGTACACCCCTGGCAGCCACATCGCTGCCGGCCACAGGCCTCCCCACCCACAGCCTCAGCCACCGTCGCCCAAGTGGGGTGGGACAGAGCAGAGTCCGCCGAGGAAACTGATTTCCCTAGGTCTGCCATGGAAATTCAGAACTGTGCTCTCCTCCAGGCCCAGATGCCTTAGACACAGGACACCACCCCTAGGTTCCCATCCCAAGCCAGTTCCTTAGCTTCCTTATAGGTCATTGTTCCACTCCTTAGAAGCTGTTGTTGGAACAAAAGCAAATCTGGGGATTGCCACTTCCTTCAAACCAAGCGAATACCTGCTTCCCCCGATGTTCCATTTTGCATCTCACATCTAAAAGCCTGTGCCTACAGCACAGGAGAAAAGAGCCAGATTGTCTCTGGGAGCTGGCAGCCGTTCTCAGGGGAACCTCTTTTCACTTGGAAAGTCCATTCCCGGCTCTACCACTTGAGGAAATCCCTCCGAGCTGTGCCAGCAGCTCATGTGTGACACAGTTCAACCCTGGTGAAAAATTGGCATCAGATCTGCCGTAAAGCATCCAGTCCCTAAAATAGACCTGCATGTGTACCACTGTAGGAAGGCCAGGAGGTACTTAAGAAGCAGTCAACTGGAAAGGGAATTGTGTTCTTTCCAGATCTGCTTTTTTTGCCCCGAGACTTTATAGCAAAACCATGTCAATGCTTATCTCCCTGCTTTGTTTCACTGCCTTTTCAGGGGACTGTGTGATAGTTCTTCAGTTGTTCGCATGTCTGTAGTGCTAAAGCGTAATATTTTTAGTATTTGAAGAACCGGGAGGGTAATCCTCTTTGATTCTTCTAGAAGAGCTCTCCACCAAAAAAGAGGGACTATATTTCCATGAGCATTTCGGTGGTGTCCTTTGGACTTCTGTTAAAAAATAAAAAATGATACCCATCCAGCAGCCATGAGGGCCCGGTGGGAGGTCACGGAAGCTGCCTTGTGCAGCCTGCGCTGAGCTGCAGTGCGTCCCCTTTGCAGGAACCTGGCCTGTTTTGTCTCTGCTTGTGCACACGCTGAACCTTAAAAATTGGAGTTTCTTCCTGGGTCTCCTCAGAAAAAGAGAGGGATGCGGCTTTGGTCTCTACCCGTTGGGCAGGAAAGGCCACATGTAGTTACTCTGTCTGGGTGGGACTATTCTGACGCTGCTCGGAACACTTTCTGCAAAAGAGAGGCATTATCCAAGGAAGCAGAGAAATGGCCTCCTCCTGATTGATGGTAAAGCTGCTATTGCTGCTGCTGCTTATATGTTTATGCAGAATTCTTCATCGGCAGCACTTTATTGAGCTAACTAGACGGTGAAGAAATCTTCAATTCCTCATTCTTCCAGTACTGCCTAGACTCAACACAAAGGTTTTGTTTCTGTTGTTTGTTTTTCCTCTTCTAGTAAAGATGCATGCAGTACCCCCTACCCCGCACCTCTCTCTTTTTTTCTTTTTTTTTTTTTTAGTTTTGTCTTATTCCTTTTCTTACTCTGAGATAATGTGAAAAAGTAGAGAATTAGGGGCAAGCCAGCCTGAGAGAAAGGAATCCCTTCTCCCCTTGGCATGAATTGAATCACTAGAAATACTCTGCTTTCCTTTCCTTGGTTCTTTTAACAACTGGGCTTAAGGAGCTTTGTGTATTGTGTACCTTTTACTGTTCTTCTAATCCAAAGTCGAGTAGAACTAACTTCTGTAGCCTAAACCCCACGTTGGGCAAATAAGCTCAGGTCAGTTTATCTAAAAGACTAATAGCTGATTTCTATCCCATGAAACAGTGAGCTGACAACCAAGCCCCAGCACCCTGCAGCCTTCTTGGTGGGCAATATTAATTTTCTTGCACTGAAAAAAAAATCTGCTTAGCATGTTTTTAGTGGGTGCTTGACTAAGGCGAAATCCAGTGATTGTTAAACTCTCGGTAAAATTTGAATATGGAGAATACCCTCCGAAGCAAGGGGCAAAGGATGAGGTACATCACACAAGTGGCCCTCCGATGTGACGGAAGGCCTGGTTTGGTATAAGAGAGGAGACGGCAGCTGTTTCACTTCAGCCCCTGCCTGGATAGGGAAGCCATCTTGCTAGAAAAGCCTGGAGTGAGGTCAGCCGGGGCCGAACTGCAGGAGTCAGGCACCGACAGCAGCCTTCCCTTTTGCTGGGGAGCTTCAGACCAGCCTCTCCCCCTGCCCCCAGTCATCCCTTCTGAGCCCAGGCTCAGATTCAGGCCTCACAGCTAGTGAACCGGCTTGCGCACCACCAGGGCCCCTGGCTGCTCCTCCTCGCTGGCCGGGCCTTTGTTCCTCATCCCCGTAGGAGTGCCTTATAGTACTGTCTAGTGCTTCTAGTCTAGTCCGACCCACTTGAAGCCTGCAGGACCCTGCGCCTCAACAGGGACCACTCTGCTTGTCCAACCTTGCCGGTTACTCTTCTATGCGCTGGGAGCCTGCCTGCCTGTGCCACCTGCATGAGGACCATTCACCTTTGTTTAACCTGGTGCCTTAACCTCATGAGTCGAAAGCATTCCTGTTGGAAGCACACAGTTGAAGTAGCCTGGTAGCTCCATTGGCTTCACCACTCCCTTGCCACTTTCACCAGGAAATATCCCTGACACAAGCCACATC